TATGAATATTTTTTTAATTATCATCTACGATAAACATATATTTCTCTTGCACCATTAAAAAATAAAACAACAACAAAACAGTGTGCAAGTCCACTATTTTCATAGTGGCTCTGGATATCATTTCATGTGTTACTGATACAGTGGCATATTCTGGAGCCTCGGTACCGTATGGGACCTACAATTGGGCTGAACATGACCTTTTAAGACCTCATTTCAGACCTTGTCATTCATAAACTGGATCCATCAGGACCCCTCTTTATAATAAATTCCACTCTGTGGCAAAGGCTAGGACAATGATCCTTCAGGCACTTGTAATATGTATATATCCTCCTACGTTAATTTGTCCTCGTGTGCTTTTAACATGTCCATCACATTAGTGGTACAAAACGTCCCCAGGAATCCACTTAGGTGCTTCAGGAGGTTTGAAAAAAAACTGGATTCAAATCTTTTGTAAAAATAGATCACTTTAACTACTTATAAAAATACAATTAAAAAAATAACCTGCCACATTTTCACAAGTCATTACTTTATGCCACCTGATTCTCTGCCACCATTGTGCATTTAAACTTTGTATGATGGTTTAAAAAAATGGTAGTTCTGCATTAGTCTTAAAAAAAAACCAACAATTTAGAGCAAGACAGACTATCAGTTTATATAAAATTGAACTAGCCTGCACAGCACAACACACAAGGTCCAGGCACATCTGATTATCACATATTCCCATCAAGGTCTAACAGGGAATTGTGCCCAAAGAAAGAATGGCTTAACACATCTCTTTATTGTTCTGCACTTAGGGTTAGTACTTGGAGTATTCTATTTTTCTAGCCTTTTATATTTATAAGCATGTGAACCATAGTTGGGTATTTTGGGTGATACAACTTTGAAACAAAATTTTTCTACTTAGCTCCCTTTTCATATGCAATCTGTATAGCAGAGTATCCAGGCATTGAAAAGTGAGCTCTTTACAAATCATTACATCTGAGTACATCAGAATTTTCCATGCAAGCAAAGCCAGTTGAAGATACCAACTGAAGACCATAGAAGGGGCTGTTACAACCTTAACTGCCATTCACACTGATCTCTGCCCATTTTGTGTTCATGAGACAGACACATTCTTCTCACCAGCCACTTTATCAGCAAATTTTGTTTGAAATACAGTTAGAATTTGAGCCCTTCACTTCTACTGTGACCACTTGAGCCAAGCCACCATCCTCTTACGAATTATTTCAGTGTCCCCTCTCCTGTCCCCCTACTTTTTTACCCCCTTGTGCTCCTATGGCCTATCTGAGGACCTCAGTCATGGCACTTTCTTCCCAACACTCTCCAACGACTTCCCATGCCATTAAAATCAAAGGCAAATTCCATACAACACTGCACAAGGCCCTGGGTAGTCTGTCACCTTGTACCCTTGCAGACCCCGTCTCCTGCTGGCCCCCATTCACTCCCAACAGCCTTGAATGCCACCCCATGAAGGTTCCTTGGGTCCCGAGCACCTGTTCACAGCAAGGTACTTAACCTCCATGGTCCTTCCACCTCAAGCACTCTTTGCTTCCTCCTCTCCAAAAGGTCTTTCACCAAAAAGTATTTTCTCAATGAACCCTTTCCAGGCCATGCTTATTTATAGCTGTACCCCATGCTCCCTGTCTCCCAGGTTTTCTATCACTCGTCATCATCTGAGATAATCCTTGCTCAAATTATTGTCTCCCCCGACTAAAGTGTAACCTCCACAAGAACAGAGAATTTTATCTATTTTGTTCCCTTCTATATCCCAGAAGCCTGTAACAGTGCCTGGCACAGAGTAACCAGGCACACAATATATATTTGTGGAATGAATATGATTATTTTAAATTCAAATCTATCATAAAATCCTTACCAATAAAATACCATGTTTAATTGTTGCCTCTCATGGGGTCACTTTTAAGGTTTTGTTTTGTTTTTGATGAAAAAAGTTTTACTGCCACAGGAAAAAAAAAAACTGTCTAAAATTGTAAGTTACAGAGAAAAGTTTGTCTTCATTATAATTTGGAACTATTTATAGTTCTCAGCATAATATTCCACCACCACCCTGATGGCACTCATCCAAAAGCCACACATCCTTTAGAAAAAGAGTCTCTCTCTACCCATTATTAGTCTTCACATATGTACAATAGTGATGGTCTATTTAAAGGGGGAGTTTTTTTAAAGAATCTTCTCACTTGGGTTTACATCATCAACTTGAAAAAACAAGGCTATCCAGGGTTTTCCTTTTCTACCACTGCCACACTGTGATCATAATTTTTGCCACATACCTCTGTTCAGCCAGCACTTTTCTCTCATACCAGTTTCACTGGGGTACCCAATTTTTGTTACATACACATCGATTTGTATATACTTCTGTGAAACATCTAACACACCACAGATATCCTACTTAGCTCAGTGTAACTCATATGGCCAACCCATGGCTCATGGCCCAGGCAGACACTTTTTCCTAATCCTTAGCATACAGCTCTTCTTCCCAATCTCCACCTCCCTGCAGTGGATACTGCTTAGCCTTTATATGATTTTAGAACAGCTCTGCTGAGCTTTGTAAGTCAAAGCTTCATCAGGGAAAGATCAGGAAATTTTCAGAATCCAGAAGTGTCAGTTATGCCCATTTTTAAATCTTTTCTTCTCAATCTAATAAATTCTTTATCCTAATATTGCTTAGCTTACTATGAGGAATATCTGCAGAGTGATAATTTGATAATACATTTACTCTCAGAGCTTACAAACTTTAAAAAGAAGTGTCTCATAATGAACATTATGGTTTATTGGTTGCTGTGAAACACAACAGACTTTTCAGTCAAGGCAGAGATGTGTATGTGGGTTTTATATTAATATATGCTATATCAAAATAAACAAATTGACATTTTGACAGTAGAAATGAGGGCGCTGGACAGAGATGATGGAGTTGATACAGCTGCATCCAATTCTACCTTGAAATTACCAAAGAAGTGTGAAGTTATACAGTTTACATAAAAGTCAATAGGAAGTGTTTTATTTCAAGCCTTTGATCCTGTTGGTTCAAAGTGAATAGCATTTGCACACTGAAATTTAAGCACTAAGCCCACCTATGTATTATCTGTAACCATATCAAAGTAGAAACCAAGTTTTTGTAATACAAAATACAAAACATTCCTGTATCGCAAGGCTGTGAACAGAAAAATAAGCACATGGAGTCAATAAAATACAAAACTCCATCAGTTCTGCTGATCTATATGAGTTTACACTGAAAGAAAAAAAACTTCTGCTTGACAGGATCCTAGACACCACACTGAAAATTATATGTCATATCTCTTTCAACTCTTATTTAATCACATTCTGTGATTACTATTCACAGGAACATACTTTTTTTTTTCTGAAATATTTATATTGATATCTGAACCATCACTGTGATCTCTGCTGTTTCACCTTCCTTCTTTGGCAATAATTCATTGCTAGAAATACCAGCATGCCTTACTATAAAACCACATTCCACATACAAGTAAGTAGCCTGTTGCTATTCTGTTAAAAACAACAAACACACAGAATCCCAGATTTTATAATCATTAATTTTTTTTGTTAAATCTGCTATTCAAAAGATTCACTCAGCATGGGAGACAATGGCAGTCATCATTTCTAGCTTCACCCAGCATAGCACCCACAGACCAAAATCACAAAAAGTATGAGCCGTCCAGTGTCCTATGGAGAAATCCCCATAGGCAGCTGGATACCGTGTTAGACATCCACACCTTATTCTTTGTGTATTGAAAATGGGTAAATCTTCTCCAATCAAAGAATCTTAAGGTTGATGTAAAGGAGACGGATTTTTGGTTTTCAGTTTGTAGGGCACTCTACATCTTTTTGTTTTCTAGATCAACATTCTCTGAAGAGTCTGGCAGGAGCAGCACAGTTCCTGTCAATGCTGACTCCTGGGGCTTGACCCATAGGCTGCGTGTCATTTAGGTCGCGTGCGGGCGGTGGGGGTAAGAATTGGGCTGCAGGGAGGACATGGCTTGAATGTGTTGTCTCAGGGTTGTCTCATGGTGTTCTAAAACGACCAGCATGGGCTTCAAAAGCCATGAGATTTTCTCAGTGCCCTGCTCCCTACTTGACCACTACATAGAACACTACTTCAACATGTGATGTCAAGACCTCACTTTACCTACATTTTACCACTTTATGCTGAATTCTCTCAAACCCAGGAGTCCAGGACAGGAGAAACTCCAGATCATTCAAGGTCACAAGCACTGGGCACCACCAGCATCACGTCAGCTGAATGAATTTAGCAAATCAATACAAACATAATTCAGTGCCCTTCAAAACAAAGAATATGGATTTCATCTTCTTTGTGTAGTTTTCAGGTATATAACAATTGTCACACTTCATAACTGTGGGAAAGGACAGCTATTGTCTGTGCTGCAGATCACTAGATACCACTGAAAACCTGGAGATTAATAAGTTCTCATAAGAACTTCCAACTGCACAATGAATCAATACTTCCTCCAAGTTTTACTGCCATTGGAACAGTTCCACCTTAACCGAGCCTGCACAAACATTTGAAAACCTGTTATGCTTATTAATGCCTCTTAAGGATGAAGATCAGCATCTATAGCCATCCTTAGCTCGGGAAGTGTTCTGTGTAAGAGGACTTCACTGCATCCTCATTTCCATCCACCATCCAACTTTCACCGACTGCAATCTTACCTCAATCTAAGGCCAGCCATCAAAATGACCACGAAATCATTCAAGTAAACGGCCCAAGTTTTCCTAACCAGGCCCTTCCACCACTCTCTTCCAGGCTAACAATGCATTCTGGCGCAAGCTCAAGACACCTCTCTCCCAAAGCGGTTCTTCCGTGTCCGCCCCCCGGTCCCCCCCACCCCCGCGCCGAGTCTCTCCCGGGAACACCTGTCCTCTTTTCCTGCTACACACGCTTCCCCGAAAGCCACAAGCCAGCGCCCAAACCCACCGGATGTGAGCCCCGCGAGCCCAGGACTTACGTTGTTCATGTACTCGCTGAGCAGGTCCTGGAGCGCCTGCCGGACGGCGTTGCACTCAGCCACGATCCTCTCCCGCCGGTCGTCGCGCGTGCAGGACGAGTCGGCCATGAGCGCCGCGCCGCTGATGATGCTCTCCAGTCTCTCCTCAAGCGACGGCCGGAATCTGGCCTCGCTGAACGTCATGGGGTCCAGGATTATCTTATTCTGAAAGCAGCACCATTAAAGAATTAGGGGAAAAGACACGACTGCCTTTGCGCCCTGTTTTCTGAACCAGAAATGTCTGCAGCCAGGGCAAGACTCTCCATGGAGAGGCAGCTGCTTGCGTAGACCAATACCAAAGTGGCCTTGACCAAGTAGCAATTGTCCGTAAGATACTTTCCCCTGAATCTAATCGTCAGGGAGAAAACAGCACATCTTGTTTCAAGAATGTGTTCTCGGAAAAGGCTGCACCAATCAAAGGGTTTTCTAACGAGACTGTGACACTGGCTTTGTTTTTTATTTTTTTCTTTTTACATTCGTAGCCTTCAAGGAAAGCACATTTCAGGGTAGCACTTTGAAGGATTATGAGAAGATTTTAGAGCCCCAGAGCAAGAACATGATATGTAATCAATGACTTAAAGATCCATTAGTGACTAGTGTACACATTATATCTATTTCATGAGAAGTGGAGAGTCCCATGGCAGGATGCCTTCTGAAACCTCGGCAAATAGCATCCAACAGAAATATACTTTACAGGTTACTTCCCGCTAAAAAGTAATATATTTTGCATAAAAAAACTAGTGTTCTAGAAAAGGATTCATTATGTGTGTGAGAGAGATTTGTTACAATTAACTGACAGTATCATGATAAGGATACTAGCATGTTCTGAAGGAGCCTAGATAAGAGAAAAAATAGAAATGTTTCCTTAAAGGAAGGTGTTGCAGAGAACTTAAGCTTCACTTTGCCCCTGCTAATTCTGAGGAGCCTGGAATCATGTAGTTGAGGATGTCCAGAAGTGGGGGATGTCCAGATACAGAAATAGGCATCCAGATTTCAGGAGATAGATCAGCCTCTATGAGGACTTGTGGATCATCAGGGTTATCTGGACACAAGACAGTGACTGGTATACTAATAATGTCAATAGAACAAGAAAACCATATAAGACCCAATTAATACCAATTCCTAGGGTATGCAGAAGGATGAGAATCAAAAAAATGAGATCAAAGAAATAGCCAGACAGGATAGGAGCAGAACCTGGAGAATATTATTCCCAGCACGTCAAGGGAGTGGAGAGACACAAATTGTGTGATAACTGCATGAAAGAGGCAGAGCTGACTTTAATCAATGGTTGGTTTCCACTGGGGCCCACTTTTCTGCTCAAAACAAGGAAGATCATTCCAACAATGCTAACTAGAGTGGAAAGACCTGTTGCAGGAAATAGTATGCTCCTCTTCATAGGAGGTGCACACTCAGAGGTCTGAGGACCAGAGTGGCGGTAATGGAGTAAATGGTCTTCCAACACTACAATCCTGTGGTAGGATTGCCATTTCATGGCAATTTCCTTTGATTTCCTAATTCCTTAAATGTTCATCAAATTTTAAAAACTGACATTACCTACTAGAATGCTTAGTACTAAAAACTGGTGGAGACTATGAAAGATACTTGTGTGATTTTTTTTTCTAATGGAATATAAAATAACTGCTTAGTTATTACAAAATAGGTCTGACTATATGCTCTGGCAAAGTTTGCCCTAACCTTCCAAAGCATCCTAAGGCAGTTGCTGAAAGTTGAGCTCCAAGCATCAGTGGCTCTGACTCAGATTCTCCTGTTATAATGCACATGTCTCCATAGCAGAGATCCTGTCAACACAAGGGCTATGAGGTGCCGAGGAATGAGTGCAAGCAGGTGGGAAGGAAAGAAAGAAAGAGAGAGAGAAAGAAAGAGAGAGAGAGTGAAAGAGAGAGAGAGTGAAAGAGAGGAGAGAGAGAGAAAGAAAGAGAGAAAGAGATGGAAGGAAGGAAAGATGGAAAAGAAGAAAAGAAAAGAAGCATCCATTAAACACAGACCAGGTCTGAGGTCCACTGGAATCTTGGATGTCCTAGGAAATTACTCATTGGTCAAAGCACCCTCTTCAGTTTAGAGGGCAAATGCATAAGGTCATGCAAACAGAAGATAAAGCTTTTCTGTGGCAGGTTTTGGCATAAAGACCAGCTTCACATTTTTGCTTAGATCTTAGAAAGAAGATGATTTGTTACTTCACTCAGACCAGTATGACTCAGACCCTGGGCCTTGTGTACTAGTAACCCTCCAAACAGTGTCAAAACATCATGGAGAGGCCTCAGTGCAGGGGATGGCTTTGCAGCATGTATCATTACAGGGAACATTCACAAAGGCAGGCTGAGAAGGGGAACATTGACGTCCCTGCCACACTGGCTGTCTGTACCAGAGGTGGGGAGCCCTTTGAATGCTCTTTCTCACTCTCTTTCCACTGCTGTTGGTTGATGCATCTATGATTATCTTATCATGGAACAAGCATTAAGGACCGGCACTCTAATTAAAGAAACACTTGATCAAAATAGAATTCGACTATTTTCCTTTATAAAGATTATGGATTTTCAAAGAACTCTTTTACAGAAACTCAGATTCACATAAAACATAATGAGAATCATTCATTCTGCTTTGAGGTTTCAGGAGGCTCTTCAGAATCATATATTGGCTCTAGCATAGATTTTTTATTATACATTGTACAAAAAATATAAAGTGCCAATTTGATGGAAATATACTGAGGTAAATTTGAACTCTTCAATAAGGGCAACTGTAAAACAGTTTCTTTGCAGAACAGAGGAAAATGTACTACTGTCATTAGAACATTACTTTCTAAATTATTTTCCACGGAACACTGAACTTAGAGATGTAATGTTTTGATGAAAAAATAAGTTTCCCTGGCCAATATGTTTTGGAAATACTGCAAGGCCCAGAGCAAATTATCACATGCAATGCTTTAGGGGAGTTCTGCCTTAAAGGAGTCAGTTTACAGCAACATTCCTCAAACCTATTGAGCAAAGAGAGGGTTCCCTTTAAAATACATGACCTAGGAGAACCCAGGAACACACTTTAGGAACTGTGGCGGTGTCAGCTGAGTGATCTTCTCACCTGCCATGGCCCTAGGCTGTCATGAAAGTAAATGCACTGAAACACTGAGCGTGAAAAACTCTGCATGAAAGTTACACTGTTCATCACACTTCTAATGGAATTATTCATTATTTATAGATTACAGGGGAAAAGCTTTTTAAAAATCTCCCTGAGAAAGAAACAATAAATTTACAATATTCTCATCTCTATCTGTGGTGGAGATTGGAAACACTGAATGATGGATGTGAAAGGCTGCCGGGGAGAGAAAAGGCATAAAGGTAAAGGGCAGTGTACACGTGTCGGTGTGTGTGTGTGTGTGCATGTGTGTGTGTGTGGGGGGAGGGTATGCATTGTCCATGTGTGTTTAGGTTGTGTATAATGGGTGGAGGGGGATGAATGTGTGGTAAACGGGAGGGGGTATGGGTTTTTTGTGTGTTTGTGTGTGTGGGTGTGTGTTCAGAAAACTGGACAGATCTCAAACAAGCTTTAAAAAATAAGCACACACACACACACACACACACACACACAGCCAAATGAAGCCAGGGGCTCAAGGGCTAGAAGACAGACTCTATTTACAGTTGCTAAAGTTAAAAGAAAAAACAAACTCTTGGAGCTGAATTCTGATCAAGAAATACAGAGAATGAATGTCAAAGCAGAGAGAGGGAGGGATATTTGCTTCTGCATGATTTGGGAGTGACTTAAGAAACATCTAGGCAGGTGTCTTTCCTAGCACACTTCAGGGTCATTTCAGACCAGCAAACAGCCTCTTTGTGCATCAGCGCAGCCTGTCCTCACCCCTCTGTGCGGCTGCCCTCTACTGGCGGGAAGGGGCGAAGCAGCATCCCGGATCAAAACTCTCTTCCCTGGTCACAGAGGGAGTATTTTAAGTGGGTAACAGGCCAGCACCAGAGAAAGGGCAAGGCCAAGGCTTCCTGTCTCCCCATTTAGACAAAGGTGTGCCCCTGTGAGAGGATTTTATGCTGTTTCCTACTATTTAGTGCATTTTAATCCCTGAGATTTTACATGTGAAGTATGTAAGTCTCTTGTTTGTATTCTTAAAGCTCATTTAATCTTTTTATCCTTTTGATCTTTCAGTTCCATCTTATATTGTCATTTTAGTTCATTTTAAAATTGCAGGCCTACATTTCTTTATCTGTTTCTTTTTTAAATGAGACTTTAATTTCTTTTTATCTTGCCTATTTTCATTCTGCTTATTTGACTTGCATAACATTGCGTGTTTTGCAATTTTTACTTATTGTATTCTTTATTAACATCCTTAATTTTACAAAATGATGTTGTGTTCTTACATTTTAAGGAGTGGCAGTTGGAAAGCATGGCCTTAAAGAAAGCAGCCAAAACAATTCATCCCCAAGCACAGGAGGTTAGGATTCTATTCTTCCATCAAGTCAGTGCTTAATGGTCTCTTCTAGTCCTACATAATTGATCTCCCATTACTCCCAATGTTGAACTCTATAACAATTTTAACTTGAAATAATTCAGGAGTCTATATAGTTCAAAACTGCTTCCTAGAATACATTTACCTCCTCACTGCACGTACAATTGTTAGAAGAGCCCTTTTTTAAAAAATTATTTTATTATGTTAGTCACCATACATTTCATCATTAGTTTTTGATGTAGTGTTCCATGATTCATTGTTTGCATATAACACCCAGTGCTCCATGCA